TCGTGTCTTGCACAAAATTTAAAAGTGAAATAGAGTCACTGGTATAATCTAAGGAAACCTTAATGGCATCATGTCCATTTTTGTAATGACGTTAACATTGTTTCTTATGCAGATGATCCGTTGAAAGCGAGCGTGTTTTCAATTGAATGTATAGAAATCGAACGTAGAGTAGTTTTCTATATGCCGCTTGTAGTAAAACAATTATTACCATTACACGGCAAACTATTCCACGATTTTCTATCAGAAGATTAGATAGAAATATTGATACATTTGAATAAAATTTCATTTTCGCTTCTTGAACATGTACACAATGATATATTTTCGGATTTTTAAAGACACCCACATCATTCATATGATTGTTTTGAGTTTTTCATCGTTTTAACCATACTGATGGTCATTAATGACATTTCATAATTGAGACGAAACTATTAAATACACTAGAACAGCACTTTTTTATTTTATACTGTCAGATTTATTCTGTAAATTCTTGAGGGTTTAACAAAGAAATTAAAAAAGTACTTATCTATCTCTATGTGCTGCCAACGTTGTTCTGATATCGAAATGTACATGCTAAACTAGATACCAATTTCATTGTTCAAGACGTCATTGTTCAAATTCAAAAATTAATGAGCCCCTTGTCAACTGTTGATCGGAAGATCTTTTTTCTCATAAAAAAGTACTTTGTGAAATATATAACATCCAATCCTTCGGTGATATCTATAATGAAATTCAGCCTAGAGAAATGTGTAAAAATGAATACAGTTAGGCTCAGGATTACGAAGAGAGGAAACATTTTGGGGGATGAGAATCCTGTCTAACACTATCAAGATACTGCATAATTTTTTGAAAGGCAATATATTATATTTATAATTGCTTCGTTGCAGAATTATTGTTACAATTTTTTTCTATTCTACACGTAGTATACAAATATCATGAGATCGGATTTTCGATTGACACGTCTGTTGAACTAGTTCATGTTAAAAACTGGTTCGTTGCAGCCACGATCCATGCCGGCGCCTGTAACCTTTTCCGCTTCCGAACTAAGCTCCACGCTTCAGTGAGGTGCGTGGTGGTTAGGGTAATACTCTCTTCGGAGGGATTTTGGGACGGTTTTTCTTTTCCGAAATTCGTTCGTCTTATTGTTGAAGTTCAAACAGCGAGAACGCGGTACGACGAGAGTTAATGACGCGAGGCGGCGCGGCAAGATCGAAATCACGTGAAGCGATGAGCAACATTACACAGCTCCCGCTGCCTCTGCCGCTTACATACCTTGGCATTTGCTCACCTTGCCTTTTGCTGACCCGACCATGAAATTTCACACCCCATCCTCTGTGTACCTTTATGTGGATCATCCTGGGTGGTCATGTAAATGTGATCAAGTAAATGTTATCATTACAAATAAACCTCCATTGCCGAAAATAAAGTATGTAATATTGTGTCGTTTAAAAAGTTTGCTAACAAATAATATTATTAGAATGATAAATTAGCGTGTGTCTTAATGGTTCATGGATATTAGTTGTCGATATGTAAGTTGTAGGTCATTTCTCATTTGCTAAAGTGTTCAACGTGTCAAAGGAACACTTTTGTATTTGACCAAAATGAATGTTGTAGCAAATTTCTACATGCTAAATTATTTCTCACCGATTCAAGAATTAACGTTTATATAAAACATTTCGTTCTTCACGAGAATTATATTTGCAATATAGTAAAACACATGATTGAACTCATGATTTTATCAACAAAATATTATTTATATGCTCATAAATTGAATCGGTGAAAACCAGAACTGTATAAGTGACATTTTGTAAATTCTGAAAAACGTGTGTATTTTGGAACATACTTCCGTGGCCATGCATTTTCGTGGTTTTAATGAACAATTGTAATAACGTGGTTTAATGATGAAACAAAGCGCCACGAATTTACAGTAATATTGATTTAAATAAACATATTTCTCTGAATTCATAAAATGCCACATACCGTTCTAATTTTCACCAATTCAATTAACTTATTTCTGTTGAAAGGGGTTTTCTTCATCGCATGTATAGACATTCTTAGCTAGTATATAATATTTATCACATGATGGATATATTAGCCGCGAGTTTCGATTGGTCAATTGTCATATAAACTGATATGGACCCGAGCACAGAATCGCGCTTCCAAACATGGCACTTGCAAGCGACCCCGGCCTAATCTCAAAGCGCATCTGCTTTTGAAACGGGCGTGAGCAGAGAAGGCCGCCGCCGTTCCGTCCTCGGTCGTGCAGGCGATATTGGACGTCAAGAACGCAACACGCGCCTACATTAATCTCCATTTATAGATCCGTTTAAAATACAACGAACATCGGAATTCGCGGGGAGAATGCCTTTTTATGGGGCCCGTGGGAGTTACTGGCGTATGAAAATTGGATGAATTGGAAAGTAAAAAAATATTTAGAAACAGCAATATTTTATTTTCTTGAAGATGTCGCTTCATTGATGGATCAATGTAAATTACGTATTGCAATATTTTTAGATATTTTGAAGGTATTTGACTTTTAAAATTATTTTTGTCTCGAATTCGTTGCATTGCTGTAGATTGGGATAAATTTTAGGCTGAGTAAAAAATGTTGGATAAAATAAGTGCCTTTTGATTTCGAATAGGATTGCTACTATACATTTAAAAGTGTTGGAAATTGAACATTTAAAAATATGGAGAATCCTTAACGAACATAAATAATCAATTAGAATCAGGTTAAGGGGCTTGGTCACTAGGAGCAAAACGAAAATAAACCATGGTTAAAATATGGTTGTTTGCCCAAACAATGGTATCGAATGGTAGGCTATGGTTTAATTTTGTTTTGTCTCGACGTATCAAGCCTCGTTAACCTCCAATCAAAATAAAGTAGAAATATACATGGTCATCTTGTGTAAAAATGGTTTGTCGCTTTATTCCTTCAAAAGGTACAACGTTTTGGATATTCCTTTATTTCATCATCCGTTATTACGGAGAGCATTTAAAAAAGACATCCACAAAACGTACCTTTTAAAACAATAAGACGACAACCCTTGGTCGCTTGATGGTGTTGGTCAAATGTTCGTAATATAAACGTAAAAAAATATTTCTGAACTACAAAATTTATACACGTCTTATAGACAAGCAAATTAAAACATTATTTCTAATACAATTTTTGCTCTTTTTAGAACGATTCTGAAACATGATTCTCATCTGATTGTGTTGGTATTGTAAAGTCTTTTCCATACAGCAATGTATATGAGCATATATAACCCTTAGTTTTTTGTATAAACTAGAGAACGTTTAAAAACAGTGCATATTTCAATACCTTTTACTACATGTAACTATTCCAATAAAAAATTCACACTTTTTAAAATTGTCCCGGACATGATATCGTAAAATACATTCATATTTATTTCTATAAATAAACCAATTCCGCTTTTTCTACTTGCTCCTTTTATGTAAAAAAAACTACTGACCCTTCAAAACGTTTGAGAACAACTTTCTAATACTCCTTCCACATTAATACTACTCTTGTTAGTCCCTTCCTCGAATGCGCATTCGCAGAAGTCAGAACGAGTATAGGAAAACGAAACAAAACACGTGTGATTACCCGGAACACAGCAACTAATAGCGCAACACAACTCGGGCACTCGTAAAATCATGCGGCCTCCGGTGCGGAACCCTGGCATGACTATAATCAAACTCTCGCGGACAAGCGCCCTGCAATTGGTACACTAACACCGCGCCATTATCCCGTCCACGAAGCGACTTCATCCCTGTCGCAAATAACTCCGTCGCGAATTTTATGCGACTTTCCTTTCCTCCCAGAGTGCTTATTTATTCGTTGTAGCCAATTTCAGTTCGACCATTGCGGCTTGCGGCTGTGATCAGTTGTCGACTGTTCATTTGTAATAATTTTGCATGATTTTAGAGAAATTAATTTTTATCGCTGTTTGTTTGCGGAGATTTATTACTTAGAATTCACGGAGGTTAAAAAAGACATTTTCAGCACGCATGCAGGGAAACATACTTATCCACCTTGTTTATTGGTTGGAAAGTGTCATTTTAACGCACACCTACGAAAAAAAGGGCTATGTCGTACGCATGTCGCAAGGAAGTTCAAGCTATATAATTCAAATACAATAGATACTGCAAAGTAAACAAAACAATAAGGAGGCATGAATCAACGTGGTTGGGTACTCGAATTTTGAGAAAGATTTTAAGATACTTGAAAGTTTTCATGAATTTGTACTAAAAAATGGTGGAAAGCAACTCATACAACTCAGTGTCTTTGGCGTTTTCGTTTCAAAATGCCGGGCTTAAAATGCTCCTATTATCGTCTCGTTTATCAACATTTCATTCCTACGACAAAAGAAGACACACTCTCTGTACTAGTTACTCTATACTAGTCTGTAACTATTTCCTTTATTAGATTACAACCGATTTTTTTAGATTAAGCTGAAATGTATACCATAATGTATGTTTAAATGAACAAGGAATGAATATCGAAATTTATTCTCGGGAACGCGGAAAATTATACCTTTCTCCTCGTGATACCTACAAGAAAGAAGTTCTGGTCTACGGTAAACATTTTGAATTGTCACTTGAATAATGCTTTTGTGTTTCTAGCACAGATCCATGTATGTGAAAACTTTGAAAAGAAATACAAAATTATATCACATTAATTTCTTTTCATCATTTGTTTGCTTATAAAAGTTAGAACAATGTTTATAATAAATTCGTTTCTCATAAAATGATTGTATATTTCTTCACGTCAAAAGTTGGGGGCTAAGTTCGCCATTCACCTTTGATATCACCGAAGACCCCTTTGGGGCCGCGATCCCTAAGTCGAGAAATGCTGATGTTATGTTTCTTCTTCCATTTTTGAAATTGATTTGTTACTTATTCCCGAACATTTTTTGCTCTCAAATTATACTGTAGAAAAACGCTGACACATATTTCATTTTTCTTCTTTCTCTAACAAAGTGTCTTTCTATCTTTTGCAGTGCCACCAGAGAAGCTGGTAATCCTGGATGAGCACGGTGTGATGCTGCCTACACCCCACTTCATCTTGGGTCCCCGCAACGAAGGAACCCCGCTGAATATTACATGCATCGCCACCGGAGGTCAGTTCATATTCTAAGTTACTAGTTGTAGACTTCTGGCATGTCTTAATCAGGGCGGTGTATCTCAAGTACCGTATTATACACGTATATCCGACTTTTTGTACTACTCTTTACTGGCAAATCATTCGCCGATGAAATACATAATTCACTGGAGGAGGTGTATGCTCAATTTGCGAGTTTAATTAATAATATTTCTCGCAGGCTGACACTCTATTGGACGTAATTTACCTCGTGAAATGGTCTTATTAAATACCACTCCCGCAATAAAATTTTTCAAATAAATTCCCGAGCATTCGTGGTATTACCTGTGGTAATTGTTTCCCACAGTTTTTTTCTCGTGGGTCAACTAGTTTGACCAAAGGCCACACTACGAATTAAAATATACATTGAATACTAAATTGATGGGTGAATATTGAAACACTACTGCGGTATGGTCCGCGCTTTACAAATACGTGAGGTGTAATTTACTAACGTGTTTATTCCATTTAAAAACGCCGGTAAAGACTCTATGAATTTTATTTATACTTTACCAACCTCGCATCAGTGTCAGTATTCTATGAAGCACCAAAGTCACTGTTACTCTTGAAAAGTTCGCCGAGCTGGCCAAGGCAACGACTCAGAGACTAAAGAGACTAAAACTTGACTAAAGAGAATGTGAAAATGGAGGATCCCAAAGTATTTTAATTTAAGTATGTAAATTTTTTTCGACGCTTTGTCAAAATTACTTTCGTTGAAAATCACAATTTTTCAAACATTTTAAAGTTACGTCTACAAATTAGAAAACAATATTTTACCAAAAGCATTTTAAAATGTTGAGTTACAGAGGAGTTTGCGTACATTTTAATACTATTATTTGGGGGGGGGTTAACTATCGGATGACGCTCTAGATAGACGAGATCGCTATGGCAGTAGTGTCGTGGCGATTTCAGGTCGAAGGATCGCGCGTTCGAATCCCGCCTCGGACATGGATGTATTTGTGGTCATTCCTTCACCCTACATCATCATATCACTTCATTAAAAGAAGTATTGATATTTCCCTACGCGAATAGGAGGCCCTTGCCCTTAATGAAATGTGCAGTTGGCTAGTAAAAAGTAAAGAAATTATAAAATAAAAACTATCGGATTTAAGGGACCTGAAAAAAAGATTTATTTTAACATCTTACACCTTAGATTTATGTGTAGATTGTTTTCTATCAAAAAAATTAAAAAAATGTCAATAAACGAAAGGCAAAAACTTTGAATGAATCTCTAATTTTAATTTGATTTGAGGTGGTGAACAGTATTTTGCAACTTCACCGCATCGGTGACCTTTTTGATTGGATTTATTTTCATCAAAAAGGAGTAAACATTTTTTGACGTATGGGGGCGAAGTATAATCTGTGTATGTTTCCTTGACCTCCTACGCTTTCATTCGAACTACTGATTTGATTTTACAATATTACTAATTGAATACTTATGAGTAATTAATTGTTTTGTATTAAAACAGAACTGAAGACAAATAGAAACATACAGATACTAGTGGGGTGAGTAATGGTAAATGAACTGGGGCATAAATATGTTTTATCAGCACGGAAACTTTGGAAAACAAAGTTAATTACATGTATTTAAGTGTGAGAAATGACCATTCTCTGCAGATAACATTTGTAGACAAAAAAATATTTATTAAAAAAATATATTAAAATTCACAAACCAAATTTGTAAACAAGTATTTTGAAGGGCCGCCCAATTCAAACATAGAGAAAAGGTACACCTCTATCACAAAATTGTTCGTAATACCATATGCAGTTTTCGTCATCTAAAAAAAAGTTTGCATGCCCATGTTGTAATGCTTTCGTATAATTCCCTCCTCCACTGCGCCACAGGCCATTTCCTTCATCACATCGAATCTGGTTTTCCTCCAACGTCTCGATCAATCATAAATCACGTGCTGAAACGAGTCTTGTTTGCAACAGTGCAACAAGGTCGCGTGCAAACTTTTTTTCTCCCTCCGCAAATAGGAATCTTTAATCTGGAGAGCCCGCTGCTTACTATGCCGCCTCCAAGGCGCCT